ACGGTAACAGTCTGTTTTTGAGTCTTGCCTTTCTCAAAAATCATAAAACGTGAGAATGGCTCTTCTTGACTATTCACTTAACAAGTATTTCCTATAGAATGATTTACTCTTGATGAATACTTTTCTTTTTTAAGAAAAAATTGCAGAATTCAGCACTGTTATTATAGCAGCTGACTCCCACAACAAGCAGTGTTTTCAGAGATGTTAATTCTTTTTGTCTTCTCTCATCTGTCCAAATATTATTCATAATGAGAAATTTGTTTTACTGGCAAATACATAATAAATTTTGCAAGGAAGCCAATATTGTTAAAATAATTGCCCCTATGGCTGAAAGTCTGTACCCATAGTTTATCTGCTGGATTTTTCCCGTTCCATTCTATTATGTTGTCTGCACAATATTTCTTCCTATATCAGCTCATCATTTGCTTCACTGGTTTTGTAATTGCAAACTGTAAAGACTGTTCCACCTTTTTCTTCCCAAACAAGGATCTTGTCTAGCAGAGTCCATGAGAATGTATTCATCTCACTGAGGTATCCACCTCCTCCATTTCTTTGAGTAAGCAATACAGCTGTCTTAGAAAGAATGCATTCATGTCTAAAACCAAGTTGCTTGCTGTGTATAGGAAGTGAGTTGGCCCGCAGCCCATAAAATACATGAGCTTTTAACCAACTTTTCTTTCAGGTTTTTCATTTGGATTCCACTGTCTATCACCCCAAGTGTTTCATTCTATAACTTCTATTGTGTTGTTGAACAGAAAAAATTAGCTATGCAGGAAACAGGGCCAGATTTCACCCAAGAGGCGATTCAAGTACACAAAAATTGCCTTTGCAAATTTCTTCATTGAATTTGCAATCCTGGTGTTTTCACTATCAGCATAAATTTGAGGCTCTTTTTGTTTTAATACAATTATCAATATCTGAGGCCAAGTTGACAATTTTAATAGCAGAGAAGAATCTATCTAGTTTTGCCTCTAGTTGGAAACCACTTCTAGACTTTGTATTCAAAACTGAAAAAAAATAAAACTCTGATTTTAAGTTTTGAAAACTAGAATGACTATGTTGTTACAGACATGGTTTGGAAGATTTAGAAAGGTAACAAAAAGATTGAGGTTAGAACTTTTTTTTGTATTCTACTGCATCGAAAAAAGTCAGAAGCCACACCTTTTTTTCTTCCTTTCTTTTTGTAGCTCTCTTAACTTGCATAATTTTTGTTTTCTGTTTGTATTTTATCTTATACCGGTACCACAATTGAGCCCAACATTTCTGCTGTTAAGTGAAACATTTGTTAAGTGAGTTATGCTCTACTTTCTTGCACAGTTAATACACGGTTATTAAGCAAATCTGGATTCCCCATTGACTTTGCTTGTCAGAAGGTCACAAGAAAGTGATCACATGACCCCAAGACACTGCAACCGTCATAAATACGAATCAATTCCCAAGCGTCTGAATTTTGATCATGTGATCATGGGGATGCTACAAGGGTCATAAGTGTGAAAAACAGTCATAAACCACTTTTTTTCAATTCCATTTTAACTTTCAATGGTCACTCAACAATTTTAAGTCGAAGACTACCTGTAATTAAATTTAATCAAGTATTATTTAATAACCAACATTTGACTTGCCATTGTAAATTAAAAAAAATGTTTTGTAGGCCTTCTACAGGTATCCACTGAATGAATGGATCTAGGCAACATCTTACTTTTTTTTAAACCACACTGCAGAACGTTTTGATTATGGAGAACCAATTAAACACACATTTGAGAAGTACAAACTTAAGGGGAAAAAAGTTGTACTAATATTCTGAATTCAGTGTATTCTTGACTAGAGTTTAAACACTTAAACCAGGTGTCTTCAAACTTGACAGCTTTAAGACTTGTGGACTTCAACTCCCAGAATTCCTCCTCCAGTCATGTTAGCTCAGGAATTCTGGGAGTTGAAGTCTGCAAGTCTTAAACTTGACAAGTTTGAAGACCCTTGTCTTAAACCATTTTGCCCAGATAGGTATCTATCACAAAAGTTCAATTTCCTGATGCAGGTTCTAAGATATTGCAGTACTTGAACAGATGCATGGATGATGAACATAGAAATTATTGCCACTCAAAACATTTTGCATTCAGATGAGGCAAGACTTTTGCAATTTCTGCTGTTGCCATTTGATGGCCCGGTCAGGTTTGTGGGAATTGGAATATTTTTCAGTATAGAGGATGTGCCTGGTTCTTACACTCAATTTAGTAGTCTAGAACTGGAATGTCTAATCATCCTTTCAGTAACAGAACTTTATCATTAACCAGATGCAATACACTGGTTTGTAATCAGGAAGGATACCATTGGTACTTCGTTATCTTAAAATGCTTGTTTTCTTGGTTCTGCATAGCCACCAGACTGTGGATCATATTCTTTGCTTTGGCTAGGAAGTCATGCTTATTCCAATTTACTACATTCTAAGTTTTTCTAGGTCAACCATAAGCTAACAGTTACTTCTGGTTCAAAAATATGCAACATGTTGATTCCAAATATTGAATTTCTTCTTATTCCATCAGTACTAACTAGCGTAACCAATAATGATAGTTTGAAATTCAACATTTGATCAATAAATTACCACCAATTCTAATGTAACAGCAGCCCTTATATTTCCATCCAGCTTTATTAAAATGAGTGTCAACAGAATATCGTGGCTAATGTACTCAGTCAGCACTAGGGAGACCCTGGTTCAAATCCCCTCTCAGTTATCAAAGGTGAACTTGGGCCAGTCATTATCTCTTGAGCCACCCTTTGGCGGGGTTTATATGTGAAGGGATAAAGGTCTTTTCTTGCACTTAAATAGAAGTGCATGTTTTTTACAGTATGTGGACACTGTAAAAAAAGAGTACTACTGTCTATGAAATTACTTTCCCAAATTGAATAAAGGTTCCCCTCGCACATATGTGCTAGTTGTTTCCGGCTCTAGGGGGAGGTGCTAATTTACATTACAAAGCCAAAGAGCCACCACTGTCCGAAGACGTCTCTGTGGTCATGTGGCCAGCATGACTAAACACTAAAGGTGCATGGAATACTGTTACCTTCCCACCAAAGTTTTTCTACTTGCATTTTTACATGCTTTCAAACTGCTAGGTTGGCAGAAGCTGGGACAGGAGCTCACTCCGTTACACGGTGCCAGGGATTCGAACCACCGAACTGCCCACCTTACTGATCCACAAGCTCAGCCTCTTAGCCGCTGAGCCACCGCATCCCTCAAATTGAATATATGTAGATTAATCTGCATCCCGTTCATAATTTAGTCGACATAATTTCTCCCCCTACTTTCAACGAAGTATTTTCCAAAACACGGGCACAAAGGCAGCAACCAAAGAGTCCATCAAAATTTTTCAACCAAGGAGGCAAAAAGATCTGGAAGGTAGGAAAACATATGCAAACAAGCAGGGGAAACTAGGAAGGTTTTCCTTCCAATACTACCCTTTTGCGGGCAATATGCTGACTCTGTAAACCGCTCAGAGAGGGCTGTAAAACACTATGAAGTGGTATATAAGTCTAAGTGCTATTGCTATTATGTTAGGAAAAGCAAAAAAAAAGGATGATTTTTCTTTTCTTTTGGTAAACCTAATGAAATAACGCAACTGCTCAGTTGCACTTTTGCAAGGATAATGGACCAAAGGCAAACCCCAATCCTCCCTGCTGATCCAGCTCTACAGAGGAATTATTGAGTCTGTCATCTGCACCTCTATAACTGTCTGGTTTGGTTCTGCAACCCAACAAGACAGACACAGACTTCAGAGGATAATTAGGACTGCAGAAAAAACAATTACTGCCAACCTGCCTTCAGTCAAGGACCTGTATACTGCCAAGTCAAAAAGACGGCTGTGAAAATATTTACAGACCCCTCACATCTCGGACATAAACTGTTTCAACTCCAACCCTCAAAACGATGCTGTAGAGTACTGCACACCAGAACAACTAGACACAAGGACAGTTTTTTCCTGAACGCCATCACTCTGCTAAACAAATAATTCCCTCAACGTTGTCCAAGTATTTACAAAGTCTGCACTACTATTACTATTAGTCTTCTCATCACTCCTTATCACCCATCCCCTCCCGCTTGTGACTGTATGACTGTAACTTTGTTGCTTGTATCCTTACGATTTATACTGTTTCCTAGTATGATTTGATTGCTTATTGTACCCTATGACTATTAAGTGTTATTCCTTATGATTCTTGACAAATGTATCTTTTCTTTTACGTATACTGAGAGCATTTGCACCAAGACAAATTCCTTGTGTGTCCAATCACACTTGGCCAATAAGGAATTCTATTCTATTCTATTCTATTCTATTCTATTCTATTCTATTCTATTCTATTCTATTCTATTCTATTCTACTCTACTCTACTCTACTCTACTCTACTCTACCCGTACACCTACTCCTATTTTCAACCCGCATCACACCAGCCAACAACACACAACTGGTCGCTGATGTGCATCTGCTGCTCAAAAGCGAGGAACCCCGCCGAAGCAAGCAGCCGATTTTCGCTTCTGTTTTTTTGCGCTGCTGCACCGCCCGACCAAGAAGAGGCAGAGGAGGCGAAAAGATTCGGGGGCAAAGGTAGCTTGTTACGGTTACCAGGCGTCCAGATTATCCAGGACGATCCCGTCCTCCTCCGGCCGGTGGGGATGGAGAAATATCGCGATAGGGTAGTTCTAACAAGAGAAGGCGGGCGACTCGGAGACGGAAGCCATTCAAATCCGACAGGAGCCGGACGCCAGTGACGCAGTCGCCACACAGGTCCGAACCCAAGGGGCGGTGCCTCTAGAGGTAGCTTGGGTCATAGAAGCGCGCCCTCGGCTGCTTCCTGATTGGTGCGTCAGAAAAGGGAGTGGCCAGAAAGCCAAAAAAAACAACAACACATCAGGTGCTGATAGACCCATAACGCCGAGTTGCGGGAGGAAAGGTCGAGGGTCCGTTTTGGCCGCGGAGGCCCATTTCTCGCCTCAGATGCCAGTTTAGTGGAAGAGAATTAGACTTTCTCACCACGAGCCCCAATCGAAGCAAGCACTGTCGCAGGGAATTTTGATTGTGTGTCCCAAACATTGGCTTTGGCGGCCACATTTTCCGGGTCCCGACGGCAAACACCCTTTTCACTTGTACAGATCCCACCCAGATCACACACACGGGTTAAAAGACTGCGATCGTCTGAATCGGGGGCTGGGTTTTTGCGATCCCGAGTCTTTGCTAGCGCACTTGTTTGCATTAATATTCTGCCCCTCCTTCTCCCTTCGCGCCCCAATCAGCAGGGCGAAGGGCTTCTTGTAATTGAGAAGCGCCGCGTTTGCTCCGGTTTGCCCATCCGGAGTGGGACCCACGTAGGGCAGCCGGATCTGCAGGGGGCAGTCTGTCAGCTAAGCATTAATCCTTCGACCGAGAGCTAATAAGGGAGGTAAGATCGGGACGGGCTGGAGTGGTTTAAACTGCAATGCGGTGTGAGTTTAGGGATCCAGATTGCTTTCCTTCCGTGGGGAAAAGATATTCTGAGCATACTGTACCACCTGCGGATGGAAAAAAGATCCGAATAAGAGACGTGGCATGGGTGAAATAAATTCATCCCCAATGGTGCCCCCCTAATGATCCTTTTCCATACATACAGAAAGAGATGGGGAAAGAGACTGACTTTCCTGATGCCAAACTCTTGGGTCACTTCGCCCCCGTTTTTTATTTCGATGGACTTGATCATTGACTAAAAAACTAGAGCATTACCTGCTTACTATGTCTGCCCCCAAAACCTTGCTCCTAAATAATAATGACTTAATTAACTCATTGTCCATATTCGCACTAAGCACTGTCCCAAAAGAACCTTCTGGGTTTGTACAGCAAACTAATTTAATTATTTGGCTTACCATCTAGAGTTGCTGGATGTTGAGCAGCATATAAATTTAATAAGTTTATGGATGGTTGTTGCACAGTCAGTAAATTATTGTGATTTCAAACTTTTGTTTGCATAATAACTGCCCATTCTTTAGTTGATGTTGGCCTTCACATGCATCCAGTGCTTCCCAAGAACCTAAGATATGATGTCTTGGTACATATGTGTAGATCCAAACACCATGGCCTTTTGTAATTGACAGAGGGAAATACTGTCAATGCACATATTTTTTGTTAGTGCTATCCAAGATTTTTTGGTATGGCACCCAGTGTGCTGATAACCACCAGAATTAAATTATTATTGTTGTTACAGTTAGCCAGTTGTTTAGACTTGGATTTTTATCTGCTTATCATGTCCTTCCCAATGACCTGGGATAGGCAGATGTTGTTGTTCTTATTTTTATTAATATGTGGCTATGTGGCATGCTGTGTGAACATAGCCACAAGGAGTTGTAAGGTAATCCAGACTAGAAGCATGCCCAGATGAACTAGTTCTACTTTATGTTACAGTAAAAGAATCTTGCAAGTCTCATAAAGTAGATTTCTCCCCCCTCTCCTATACAGCCCAAGACAATGGAGAAAGTTCTTGTTGAGATGTTTACCATGTCCGATTTTTGGGTGGGATAAGCTGCCTCTTATCTAACCCAGTGCCCTGGCTGTGGTTCTCCCAAGTTATTCCCATAAACCATTACAGCAGTCTTTGTAACTCCTCTCTTTTTAAGAAGTATAGGGGTAACAACAGGAGTTTTATTACTAAAACTCTGATTCCTGCAACCTTTAACTGGGCAAAATGATGCACCATAGGGCAAGCTACTTTAAAACTAAAGTACTTCCAGTGGGCTAATTTGTATCCAAAATCCAGGATCCATGACTCCTTGGATTTGAAATCTGACAAATTGTATGAAACATTTAATGACATAAGCATTATCATAAAGCAGTTTATGACATAATGCAAAATGCTATAAAATATTTTCTGTGCTGATGTTTGACTGCTATACACGGGCTAAACAGTTTATGGCATAATGCAAAATGTCACAAAACAATTTCTGTGTTGATGTTTGATTACAGTTTAACATGGGCTATTTTGATCCCAACTTTTGCAGTGAAAGCAGTATAGCAGAAACTCTGTCATTGTTAAAGGCCTTTGAGGCATCTGGTAAAGAAATATATCTGAAATGCCCAATTGGACTTATTTGCTTGTTGATTTGAGACAATGTTCTCATCCAAACAGCTTCTTCAATCTGAATAGTAGGCAGAGACTTCAGTTGCCGTCACTCAACTTCTGAACAATTCTACCTGGAAGACTGAGAATCTTCATTGACATATTGCCACACACTTTGGGGAAGAAACCCTGAGGTGGTTGTGGGAATGCCCCTAAGAATTTTAGTAGTTGGCATGTTATACAATTCTCTGCCCGCTCAGATTCTCCTGACCAACTTGTTCAGATTGAAGAAGTTGCTTGGATGGACAACGAAGCATGATAAACCAACAAGAAAATAAGTCCAGTTGCTATGACTCAATGCCAGATAGCTCTGAAATGTTAATCCCAACGAAGCACAGGTTTCCTAGTTATTAGTAATTTTTGATTAAGCATCATGCTGGGTAAATGTAGCTATAAAGCAGATGTTGTAAGGTCTTCTTTTGAAAAAGATGGGTAACTGCAGAAGAATTGCCTTGCAATATGCAGTTCTGTGTTTGTGTTTTTTTCTCCAGTGGGACCAGTCTAGCAGGACAACCTGGTCTACTTAATTATGAACACACTGCTTCTATTTTCACCTTTCAGCCCCAATCCAAGGTCCTTTGCAGGCAGTCGGTTTTGTGACAAACTGTTGTTGTGTTAAATTTATGTTTTACCGACAAAGAAATAAAGGGAGATTAGTATAGATCTATTTCAAGCAATTTAACTTTCATCAGCTAGCCATACCCTTATGGGATTTGAACCTGGGCTGGTTACATATTAGGTAGATGTATTAACCTCTGAGCTACAGGTTCTCCTCGCTTTGTTGGATATACCAGGGGAGATACTTAATACATCTACCTAATATGCACAGGGTAAGCAGCCTGGGTTCGAATCCCATAAGGGTATGAGCTAGCAGCTAGCTGATGAGAGCTAAATAGCTTGAAGTGGATCTATACTAGTGTCCCTTTATTTCTTTGTCAGTAAATTTAGTCCTATGTTTGGTTTCTAAACACAATGACTGATTCCTAAGTTGCCTCTGAAATCTCAAAAAGCAGAATATAAAGGTAATGACCTCCCTCAGTAATGTGTTTCTAACATCTACGGTAGTAACTACCCAGCAATGCTGTTGACTTCATTCATCGATATTCTGCTTGGGCAATATGGTTAAGAGGTATATTGAAAATTCTGATGTTTTGCAAATAAGTGGAATATATACCAGGTCTTTGAATTGTGACCCTTATATATGAATTGATCCTTCGTGTTGCTATCTGGGAAACCCAGTCCTTTGCTCAATCTCTTTTTCTTCCCAAAATATTTGTTTACAAATCATAATGTTTTGCCCTTGCTTACTAGGCAAAACTTTCAAGAAATAATAAGCTCACTTCACATCATATTGGCTTGGTGGATTTGCTGTTTTGCAATATATGCAAGACCGTAACTTCAGATTGCCTTTCTCTTATTTCTAATACAATCATCAAACATTTTGCAGTTCTCAGTAATTTAGCAATTTTGGCTGGCACCATATTTTCTTAATCTTGCATGAAATAAGTATATACCGAAATATCCTATTAAAGAACTATTGGAAAGAACAGGAACATTATGCCGTTTGGCCTCTAGATCAGCTTTCCCTAGTATCCTGCTGATTTTAGATTTGGAAATTTAAATCCAATATATTTGGAGGTCATCAGGATGGAGAAAACTGTCTTAATATATGCGTTTCTTTCTTTCTTTTTTCTCCCTGTGTCATGTATTTTACGTTGTTCACAAACATAATTTAGGCAGCTTTCAGTTTTTGTTTAATTTGATCCAGATAACCAGCACCAATAGTTTTAGTTAAACTAGGAAGATAAAGGAGCTGAACAGCTCTGTTAAGATGCGGTATGTTTCTGATTGTGATCATGATAACGAAATGGCATCTTTCTTTGTTTCTGAGGTTGCTAATAATGACCAAAGTTGGTGCAGTGCTGATTTAATAGAATAACAGAGTTGGAAAGGAATGTTGGTGGTCTTCTAGTCCAAACCCCTGCTTAGGTAGGAAGCCCTACAGTGGTGGCTAACCTTTTTGGGCTTCTGTGCCGAAAATTGCGCGTGCGAAGGCAATGCGCCCCGCCGCCCCTGTGCATGCACGTGCAACACCTCCCTGCACCCCCTTACCTGCACTGCACATGCACGCGCCTCCCAACTGATTTTTGGCCCATTTGAGGCAGTTTTCGGCCTCCCTGAGGCTTGAGGAAAGCCTCTGCAGCCTCAGGAGGCCGAAAAACAGGCCTTCCGGAAATACCAGACGAGCCGAAACAGGCCTGTTTTTCGGCCCCCAAAGGCTGCAGTGGCTTCCCTCGAGCCCCCGGGAGGGCAAAAACGGCCTCCCCCAGGCTCCAGAGACCCTCCAGAGGCTGAAAACGGACACTTCCGGTATTTTCGGAAGGTCCATTTTGCGGCCTCCTGAGGCTGCAGAGGCTTCCCTCGAGCCTCAGGAAGGCCGAAAACTGCCTCAAACGGGCCGAAAATCAGCTGGGAGGCGCGCGCATGCACAGTGCAGGTAAGTTTGGCTGGGGCTCGCGTGCCCACACAAATGGCTCTGTGTGCCACCTGTGGTACGCATGCCATAGGTTCACCATCACGGCCCTAGACCATTTCAGATAAATGTTTGCCCAATCTCTTCTTAAAAACTTTCATTGTTGGAGTACCCACAAGTTCTGGAGGCTAGTCATTCTATTGATGAATTGTTCTAACGGTCAGGAAATTTCTTCTTATTTCTAGGTTGCTTCTCTCCTTGGTTAGTTTCCATCCATTGCTTCTAGTCCTGCCTTCAGGTGCTTTGGAGAATAGAATTGATCCCCCTCTTCTTTGTGGCAGCCTCTTAGATATTGGAGCACTGCTATCATGTCAACCCTAGTCTAGCAGGACTCTTTTCTCATCCTGAAAAAATAATTCTCTCCATGACTGAGGAAAATGTAAATATATGTGACATTAGGTATTGGAAGGTTACATCCAAATAGCTGGATCCAGAAAGATATTATTTCAGCTTCCTATTCTCTACAGAGGACATCTCTGAACTATTTTTTGATATATTAGTGTTAATATTGTGATGAATAAGAAACGGAAGAGATAAGGCACAATTTATTTTATTTTTCTTTCAGCCAAGTACAGATAAAGAATCATGGAGGTGCTACGGCCAGTACTGATAAGAATTGATGGGCGTGTTTATAGGAAAAATTTTATTCAAGAGCAAGCTCATCAACAGGAAGAAGAGGAAGATTTTAATACAGGTATAATCACTGCTCTACGGGAGCCCTTCATTTTTGTTTATATCTTGTTTTACCCCCAAATGGAAATCTGAAGAGACTGCCATAAATGCAAAAGGCAAGGTGAAAAATTATAAAATGTCCATAGTTTCTACAGTATTTGATTATTTAAGAAAACATTCATCTAGCTAGTAAATAATATTTCATAAACATAACATAAAATAACACACTATATAATAATATACAATAATATAGGTTGGCAGAAGCTGGGACAAGGAACGGGAGCTCACTCTCTTACTGCGGTGCTAGGGATTCAAACCGCCAAACCGCCAACCTTTCTAATTGACAAGCTCAGCGTCTTAGCCGCTGAGCCACCACGTCCCTTATAATAAACATAAGGATATAAAATTCTAAATCAACAGTTCGCACATCATACTACCCAAGAATCACAGCTGGCTTCAAATTTTGTGCTATTTCATAAACAAAAGGTTAGTAGCTGGAATTGTTTGTTTTACTAAGTCATAGGACACAGAACTTCATCAAAGCTAGAGAGGACCGTGAGGGTCTTTTAGTTCAACCCCCTAGTCAAGCAGGACACCCTATACCAGTGGTGGCTAACCCTTTTCGGCTCCCATGCTGATAATTGCGTGCGCGCTCACCAGCACCCAGAAGGCAATGCATGCTGGGGCCCCCCACACCCCCTGCGCATGCGCGTGACCCCCCATGCCCCCTGTGCATGCATACACAACACCCCCTCATGCATCTGCGCATGTGCAGTTGATTCCCCCTCGCACGCCGCGCATGTGTGAGTGATTTCCCCTTGTGTGTTTGCGTCTCTGCGCAGGCGCACGCGATTCCCTCCCTCACATGCCGTGCATCTTTGCACATGCATGCGCAATTGCTTGTTGTGTGCCCCACGTTTGCGCAAGCGCACCCGATTCCCCCTTGTGCGCAGCACGTTTGCGCGTGCACATGTGTCTTTCGTGCACCCTCCGCCCCCTGCGCATGTGCGCCAGATACCTGACAATCAGCTGTCGGGTGGCGGCATGTGCATGCACAGTGGGGCTCTTCTGGGTGACCTCTCGCGTGCTGGGGGAAATGGCTCTCCGAGCCACTTCTGGCACGCGTGGCATAGGTTTGCCAACACGGCCCTATACCATTTCAGAAAAATGGCTGTTCAGTCTGTTTTTTAAATAAACAGCTTCTGAAGGCAAGCCGTTCCACCGATTCATTGTTCTCGCTGTCAGAAATTTCTCCTTAGTTCTAGGCTGTTTCTCTCTTTGGTTAGTTTCAGTCCATTGTTTCTTGTCCTGCTTTCTGGTGCTAGGGAAAATAGGTTGATCTCTCTTTTGTGGCAGTCCCTCAGAAGTTGGGACGCTAGCTCAATACCCGTGCTTCGCTCTGAAACTATGTGGTCGGGCTTAGATTTTGCGGAAGAAAATAAGGGGGGGAAATTCTGCCTCTGCCTACCAGCATCCATCGGTATTCAACTGGCTAGCGTCCTGTCAGTGTGTGAGAGAGTTGAGAGCTGTTTGGAAACTGAAACAGCATTTTCTGTGCAAGCAAGGAGACAGCAAGGCACCTGGGAGTGGTTTAGCTCAACTCTTCTGTACTAAAGCTGGTTGCTGCTGTGAAACGAAAACTGAAACTCCTCTCCTCTGCTTGTGTTTTGCATTTGGAACAGATTTCTTTTCAGGTGGGGAGGGGGAGTAGAACTCCTTAGCATCAGAGCATGTTAATAATAATAATATACGAAATACTAATGTTCTGATGGTCATTTCGAAAAAATCCTTTTTAGTGAGCACCTAGAAGCCAAGAGGAACAGACATGCCAAATTTCAAATGTGTAGGCTTTACAGTTCTGGAGATATTGTGATGATGCGTGAGTGGTATTTCGCTTTTATATATATAGATTGCTATCAAGTTCTTCTTTAAGCATAAGAGGCTCAAGGAGGTGAGGTTCAAGGAGGTGAAAAAGTCCAAATTTAGAAGGAGTTTCCAACTTAGAATTGGAATGCCAAAGGATGCCCATGGACAGAGAGTAACTGATTCAAAGAAGATCAAACGAAAATGGAAGGCATGTAGTGAAATTCTGGGCAATAAAAGTGTCAATATCTAACATAGGTTAAGAAAATATGTGTCAAGCACCAGATAAATCAGGAGAGCCAGGCAGTTCAAATAGATAGAAAGACTTATTGCAAGATTAAGCTCTCTACAAGAATCTGAACTACTGGTGGTCAAAGCATTTCCTGAGTAGTTCAGGAATTCCAGAATAGGAATTCCAGGTGGGCTGGACTTAGATCTCTTGTGGGCATGACGGGACTCACAACTGATGACATGCTTTACCCTTCCCTCAGGCTCATCCTGGTCATATCCTACAATATTCCATGCTTACCTCTGGTACTAGAAGATGACATTATATCAGTACTGCATTCATTACCAGATCAAAAGACTGCATGAATCGATGGAATATCTTCAGGAGCATGACAAATAACAGAAGAATCAATAAAAGTTCTACTGTAAACTATGCTAGCAAATCCAGAAAAATGACACAAAGGCCAACAGATCATATGAGTTCACTCTACATACCGATACCAAATAAAGGGGATGTAATGGAGAGAATGCAAACTCTTCTAACAGTATACTTAAATTTCGCGTGCTGGCAGAATATTAAAATAAGGATTATTAACCTTGTCTACAGTATGTTTATTTAGTTATGTATACATGTATGTATGTATTTCAAGACTCACTGCCAACATTCTGTAAATTGTCAAGTGTTTTAGAAATACATTATATCGAAGAAAAAGTTATTTCCCTGTAACTTATCTGCTGAATTGCTATTGAATTAACGTAATCACATATGCAGGGTTTGGAAGAGGATTTTTTTTTCTTCTGGTTGGTAGAAGAGAATAATTGCTGTGTTTTCTTTTTCAGCTGAGAATATTGACTATGACAATGAGAATCACTTTGCTTCCAATTGTCAGCTTTCAGAGACTGCATCTGCCTCCTCTATTCTTTTATGCTTTCTTAAATAGACATTTGCATCGGTGGCAGAATCCACTGAAAAGGTTCCCACGGAGTTCTTTTGCAGCTTGTGTTTGAAAGCAGATTAAAACAAAACACTGTTTGATTCACTACAGCAGCTGCTTATTGCCCCTTAACTGGGGTTTCTTTTTTCTTTTCGTTATCTGAGAAATGAGATGGGCTGGACCATCTTGGTAAATGACTTATTATGGGCTCGTGTTTTATAGGTCTTAGAGATGGCTCAGACGAACCCTGTGACGCATTTGCAGTAGAAGAGACAGAAAGAGGATACCAATGCGCTATGGACATTCCTAGTCCACTGTATAAGTGAGTTTGAGGGAATATAATCACAAGAACGGCATGCAGATGTGTATCTCCTGCTCTAATAGCAATGTCAGGATTCCAGCAATCACCCTAATTAAATCATGAGTCTCGAGCCAAACTTCAAAAAACTTCAAAGGATTTATTAGAGGCAACATACTGGCATGACCTGTATGAAGCCAACTCTGGCATGCGTAATTTACCGCCACTTTTGACCCTGCTTCCCCATCCCCACTTGTGTGTCTATAAATCAGATTCTCCAATTAAACACGTTCATGGGCTGGGTGTCATCAAACACATTCTCCAATTAAATATATTCGTGGGCAAAAGCTCTGGTAGTTTAGTTACAATCTTTTAAAGATAAGTGTTGGAATGTACTTCTGATTTCAAACTGCTGCACTGCTCTTCCAGATTTCCTTCCTCCCTCCCCCGCCTTTTTAAATGGCAACTACTAAAACAGGCATAGGAATGTTTTATGAGTTGACATTTAGACTTATATACCGCTTCACAGTGCTTTACAGCCCTCTCTAAGTGATTTACAGAGTCAGTCTATTGCCCCCATCAATCTGGGTCCTCATTTTACCAACCTTGGAAAGATGGAAGGCTGAGTCAACCTTGAGCTACTGAGATTCGATCTGCCAAATTGCAGTCAGCTGGCAGTCAGCAGAAGTAGCCTGCACTACTGCATTCTAACCACAGTGCCACCGCGGCTCTAATGTTGACAGAAATTCCTTCTCTACCTATGCAAAGATGATAAAGGCTAACAATTCAGTCTCATAGAGTCCTGGCGGCTCAGTGGTTAGAATGCATTATTGCAGGCTAACTCACTGCTCACTGGCAGGGCGTTCGATTCTGACCCGGTCCAAGTTGACTCAACCTTCCATCCTTCCGAGGTCAGTAAAAGGAGGACCCAGATGGTTGGAGGCAAGATGCTGACATTGTAAACCGCTTAGAGAAGGCTGCAAAGCACTATGGAGCGGTATATAAGTCTAATGTTATTGCTAGTGCTGTTGCTTATATAGGGATGTGGGAAATGTTGCAAGCCTGGAATGAACTGCTAGTATTATTGGACTGCTTCAGAAGACTTGGTATGTGTTGGAATAGCCCAGTGGTGGCTAACCTTTATGGGCTCCCGTGCCGAAAATTGCGTGCATGCTCATTCGCATGCGATCGTGTGCCAGACCTAGAAGGTAATGCATGTGGGGCCCCCACACCCCTGTGCATATGCACGTGTACCCCCCGTGCGCGCCACGTGTCTGCGCATTCACGCGAGACCCGCACACCGCCATTCCTTGCGCATGCGTGCCAGATACCCGACAATCAGCTGTTGGGCGGGTGGCGCACGTGCATGCACAGTGGGGCTCTTCCGGGCGACCACTTCCGGCATGCATGCCATAGGTTCGCCATCACGGGAATATCCCATTTTGAGGTGTGAATGGTTCATTTCAGTTATAAATGTTCCATAAGGGAATGTTCTGAATGATTCCAGTTCTATACTTATCTCTTAAGCGAGTTCCACTGAGAGCCTTGCATGTCACAGTAAAACCAAGTTCTTGCTTATTCACAAACCAGCATGCTGTTTACAGTTACTTTTTCTGCCCTTATGGAGTGGCTAAACCAATCACAAATGCCATTTTCCTCCTGGTTTGGTTTTTTGCAAAGTGCTAATCGTAGCTTCCAGCCCTGGTTTGCATGTAACGATAATGTTTGGCCACTTCTGTATCAAGGGAAGCCCTGGGAGAGTGATCAGGGAGGATGTGCTAGCAAGCTTGCTTCCTTCTAATCAAGTTACAATAATGGAAATTGTTGTTATTTTACGGAGTACAGCCACAGCATTCAGTGGGGCTTATATTTAGGAAGAAGATGATAGGATTGCAGCCTAAAATACATTTAGCATCATCTTCTTTTCATGTTACTCTTACTAGGAAATTCAGAAAAAAAAGCTTAAGTGGCTGGTTTTAACAGATAAGTGCACTATAACTTTTTTTTAAAATGCTTTAGCTTGTTTGATTTGGCCTTTGTTCCAAACCACTTGGCCAGCTTTGGACTGCTTAATTTGATGTAGCTTCCATCTAATTTTGACTGTCATTTCTCACTGCGGTTCTTTTGAGTTCTTTGTTGACGATTATGAGTGTCACAATGAAAACTTGTTGCAATTCTTATAATCAACCTGCCTTTCCTTGCATCGGTCCCCAAAGTCTACTCGCAGCAACCACCATTTGGGAAAGGGCAGCTTGAAACTACAGAAGACATACCCTTGATCAACAGTCAAGAGTTTACATGGGATCTTGTAGCGAGATTAAGGATAAGCGATCACACTACAGGCCGAGACAGCACACAAATATTTTTTTGTTAACTCCCTGGTTTTATTAAGACAATAAAGCCAAGTCTTACCTAAGCATTTTCCTCACATACACACACCTTTTTTCTCTCAGTAAAATGCTACCTAGAAAGTAGTTAGTGAACCTGAGAGGAATGGAGGAAATGAGCCACAGCCACCTATTTTTCCCAACCAGTTTCTTGTTCGCCCGTTTTCCTTTCCACCTCATCTACCTCACAGTTGTCGCGGGGATAAATAAATTGTCCTTGATATGCAGTTTTGGCTTCCAGATTGGTTTGGTTTCAAATAGGGTCCCTCACTGGGCCTTTGCAAGGCCACAGGCCCATCCAAGACTACATATCTCATATTGCTTTGCTTTTATGTTTGTTGGTTTGTTTCTTCTGTTTGTTGTTTTTTCTGAAGCTGCTGCTGATATGCTGTGCCACTAAATCCACATTGCTAAATTTAGGGAGTCTTATCAATTTTACAACCAGCACATAGTCAATTACAGAATTCCCTGGCTTTACTTCTATTTCCTCTAACTATTGGAGGGGGATAAAAAAAAAACTTCTCATGCTTCATCTACCAACTAATAAAATTTTAGTTTAGTTTAATTTACTTTATTGTCATTGCACCTCGTACCATGAAATTAAATGCCATCTTCAGTGTACATTATACATAAAAAATAAATCACAAACACACATCCTTCACTCTTTCGCTCTTTGTGCCTTTAAGCTCTTTCATTCCATAACACAGGGCACAGTTATTTTTGTAACACGGGAACTCATTTAATACTAATTAAGCTCTTTAACCTTAGCTCCTTTTTCTTCCGTATCCCACTCAATGTTTTTACAGGTATATAATAGGAAAGAAAGGAGAAACCAGGAAAAAACTGGAGACAGAAACACGAACCTCCATCAGTATTCCCAAGCCAGGGGTGGAAGGAGAAATTGGTAAGATTTTTGAGCTTGCAAAAAGGAATAGACTTCTGAATTTTCATACGCAGGTTACATAAAACTAAGAAATAATATGGTACTATGTAAAAAGAAAATTTTCTATTACTATATATGAGATGAGCTACAAAAAGGAAATTAAAGAAAGAGGATTTGTTTTCCATTCCATGAAAAACAAAGACTTTCCGTAAACGGAGACAGTCTTTCAATTCACAGAAAAAGGGATCTTAATCAATGACAATGAAACAGCTGTAATCCAATGTGCACCCTCCACTTCCCCAATTCGTTAATTTACTTGCAGTAATTTTATCCCTTTTTCACTTCTTTTTTCCTTCCTCCAGTCTACTATATTCACCAAAAGAAAAAGAAAAAGAAAGAAAATAATCTCTGATTTAAGATAACATTCTACCCAAAAGAATCCTCACAAACCAGCCATTCATTTAACAATGATTCGAAGTTATAGACAGTTCTCAATAAAAATAAAACTTTACGGCCAATTTACAACTTTGACAGTGCCTGGCAGTCATGTGGTCTCTATTACAGTCAATAGTATTGACTATAGTCCAGGGCGTCTCCAACCTTGTCCACTTTAAGACTTGTGGATTTCAACTTCTGGGAGTTGAAGTCTACAAGTCTTAAAGTGGACAAGGTTGGAGACCCCAGGACTATAGGACAATAGGTATTGGCCTGTGGTTTTTCCATTTTTTCTTCTTCTCGCAAAGCAGAGAGATTGGGGAGGAAGGGATTTGTGGGCACACTGTGCTTATGCTTACAATATTCTCTTGAAATCTTTTCCCCTCCAATCTCTTCAGTTTCCAGGAGGGTGGGAGAAAAAAGGCAAGCTGTAGGCAATCTTTGCCTGATCTTACCTACCTACTCCGCAGAGCAGAGAGATTGGAGAGAAAGGGATTTCAAGAAAATAAACTTTGCTTTTGTACGCATCTAAAGCAATGTAATAATGCCATTAGCAGGAAAGGGTCGGGAGTGAACAGTATGTATGCTCTCTTAAATTTCTTGTAGGAAACACAAGACATAGATCAAAGTTGGAATATGAAGATTAAAAAATAACATTCTTTCCTCTAACGATGACTTACGGTACTCCTTCCTGGAGAAAAGCTCCTCACTCCATGCCTATGTTGTCCTTTGTCAAGTTAGCAGCCATCTTGTTAATTGGGTTATGAGTACAGCAAGTACCTGCTAGCTGCCTGCTATTGTTAGATTTCTGGAGGGAAATTAAAGCACATTAGCATATATCCTGTCCTGTTAATTTTCCTTGCTTTCAGTGATCACAGGACAACATCGGAGTGGTGTTATTTCAGCACGGACACGAATCGATGTTCTCGTTGAAAGCTTTCGTAAAAAACAGCCCTTCACACATTTTCTATCATTTGCACTCAACCAGCCTGCAATCCAAGAGAGGTTTTTACAATTCAAAGAGGAAGTGTTGGAGAAATGTTCCCATGTAAGTTTTCATTATAATATTTGGAAAAAGTGGAGCGGGCAAAACCTAACTAAACTTTCTTTTCAAGATCATTACAAAACAGAAAATAACGTTTTAAGGCTGTTTGCTTGGCATATTGTTTCTTATTCCTGTCTAACTTGTTCAGTATTTTCATTTTCTCTCAATCCTCATATCCATTTTTATTTTGGAATGAGAGTATATTAGGTGAACCATAATAGAAGTGCTGATAATTATTTTGCTTCCATGAGAGCCTTTGAGGATGGCATTTCCTGGATTGTATGTTTTAACCCCTTGACAATAACAGCAGAAAATTAAGTCGTTAAGACAAGGACAATGTGAGGTGGAGAGTTAATTTGGTGTTGTGATTAAAGCACCTGGCTAGAGATTGAGATACTCTGTTCTAGTCTTACCTTAATAGCAACAGCACTTAGACTTACATAGTGCTTCATAGTGCTTTACAGCTCTCTATAAACAGTTTACAGAGTCAGCATACTGTCCCCAACAATCTGCGTCCTCATTTTACTGACCTTGAGATTGTGGGAATCAAACTGCTGGTAGTCAGCAGAATGCAATACTGCATTCTAATCACTGTGCCACCACCGCTCTTTTAAAGCACAAAGCCAGCTGGGTAATGTAGGGCCAGTCCTAGGAAAGAGGCAGTAGCAATTACATCAGAAAACATTGCCAAGAAAATTGCAGAGACTTTTCCTGATAGTCATCAGGAGTCAAGATTGACCGGAAGACCCAATGTACACTATTGTGGAACACTTTCTTTCTTTCTTGGTTGGTTGCTTGTTTTCTTCTATTTATATAGCTGCCTATCTTTGGATAGCTTGCAGCAATAAAACAATATCAAGCAATGTAAACCCATCAACGCACATAGCAGCCAAGAGACCAAACCAATATAAATGGCATAGACTAACTACCAACACTCTAACTCCATTCTCGGGCACCCAACCATGTCTTAAGATCTTCTGAAAGGCTGTTAGGGTTGGGGCCAATCTAAATTTAGGGGCAAACAAGGTTCCTCTGGGCAAACTGGATGATCATGACTCTCAAGGCCTGTGATTCATGGTCCTCCCACCTAAGGACCCTTGAGAGAAACCTAGGCCTATGTTCCCCCTTTATGTCTTAATATGGGTCTAGAACAACTCGCCACGACCAATTTGCTGTAGCCAACTCACCATGGCCAACTCATCGCAGAATGCAACTCGCCATGGCCAACTCCGCCACAGGACAATTCAATTTAATTATTTAAAATAGTTTAAAAGTATTTTAATTTTTGTCATTCAGATTTCATTTTGTCCTTCCTTTGGCATCCTTTCTTTCATGATTCTGTTCTGCTATTTCTTTGATATTAGTATAGCTCTTGTCCTATGGCGAGTTGGCCTGTGGTGAGTTGGCCATGGCGAATTGTCCCTTGGCGAGTTGGCCATTGGCAAATTAGCCATGGTGAATTGGCGGTGGTGAGTTGACTCTGGCAAATTGTCCCATTCCGTCTTAGTATAGTGGTTCTCAGCCTTCTGGTCTGCAGATCCTTGGGGGCACAATTTCACCACAGGGAGTCTGCAAAGGCTTGATATAGTGTAGTGCAGTGATGGCTATCCTTTTCATCATCACGTGCTGAAAGTGCGCATGCTTGCACCTGTGCCTGCACCCATAATGCAACACATGTGCCCCCCGCCCCCTGCGCATGCATGCATGACCTCACCGTGTGCGCTGCACACCTCTGCACAGGCACGGGCGACCCCTCCGTGAGCCATGTGCACGTGCATATCGCCAGCGTACCCCGCCACCCATGCATGCACAGCAAATACCTAACAATAAGTTGGCTGTTGGGAGGCGCGCACGCATGCACAGTGCATCTCTTCTGGGCGACAGCTCGCATGCCGGCAGAAATGGCTCTGCCTGCCACTTCCGGCACGCATGCCATAGGTTCGCCATCTTGGATCTAGGGCTTTAATTCTTGAGTTAAGTCTTGGTGGTCTGTGGCAGGGGTGGGATTCTATAGGTTCGCACCTATTTGCTAGAACCGGTTGTTAACATTCTAAGCAGTTCAGAGAACCGGTTGTTAGAAGAAATTACTGGCCTAATCCTGTAAGGAAGGCAGGAAGGAAACATTCTGGTGTTGCTTACAGAAACTGCCTCTCTGTTAATCCTGATTACATTCTGGCAGGACTAGACTTCCTGTCTCAGGAATGTCTCTGGAGTTTTTTTCCCCTCCTTTGCTGGTACTTTGCTTGTGTGGAGTGACCATTCAAAGTTACAATGACACTGAAAAAAGTGACTTATGACCATTTTTCACATTTACGACTTGCAGCATCCCCACAGTCTTGAGAGGCCAGGCGAGGAGATGCCTGCCTCGATATGAGTGATATTGAGTTGGCCACGCCCAGCCAATAACATGACCACCAAGCCACGTCCACCCAGTCACATGACCACCAAGCCACGCCCACCAACTAAGCCACACCCACAGAACCGGTTGTTAAAAAATTTGAATCCCACCCCTGGTCTGTGGCTGTGATCTATGGTCAAGAAAAGGTAGAGAACCACAGTCTTCATAGATTTAACAACCTTGTGATGAAATGAGAATTAAGATTTGCTGGAGGACTTAACAGAGGCAGCATTAGAAGGAGCTTCTTTGTTTCTATTATAAGATAGTGACTAGTTGATTAAGGAAACTAGAGTGGGCTTTTGATTTCCACTGCATTTGTAGCTTTACAATAATCTCTGTTTGCCAATAAAGAAATCTAGTCCTGCATCTTCCTCTAACGTAGATAGATATATACAATCCCAGTTAATATTGGAAATAAGAAATGAAAAAGATTGAGAAGCGTAGAGGATATACCGAGAATTCCTCTTTTTTTTTAAAAAAAAATAAAGTTTTATTTGGGTTTTCAAAATACAAGTAAAACATCTTTTTTGAAAATAGCATGGTCCCGGGTTGAACTTCTTTATACAGACACAAAACTCAATTTCATGCTCCTTTTTGTATTCTATTCCATATCTTATACTATTTTACATTTTCTATATAGTTTTTCCCCTCTTTTGATTTTCTCGATTTTAATTTGATTATCTCATCTCAATTCAAATAATTATATTTATACTTTTGTCTGTTCTGTTTCAATTTCATATTATCTTTTCTCATTAAACAAGTTTTCTCCTGTAGTTACTAATTGGAGTATGACACCTTTATATCTTTTAATTACATCCATTCAACTCTTATTTAAACTTCAATATATACCTTAAGGTTATGACCTTCAATATAATACATAACTTCCAATCGAATTCTGCTTGGTACATTCTTATAATACACACTATATTCTTTAAAGAAAAAAAAAGATTGTAAATATATGTAATTATAAACCCTCATTCCGTTCCAGTTCAGTTCTATCATTAATAATCATTAAAATCTTAACATCTTTAACACTTCTTTTCAATTAAATATCATACTTCCTTAAAAACACACATAATCTCCATAATTAATTTTTCCCTTATTTCTCTTCACATATGTTTTATAAATCATTAAATATACCTTTTATTACATTTATTTATTGACAAGCATTCCACTGAATTACGATAGCTATTTTATCAGACATTTTAATCATACACTGTTTCATATTTTCTAAAATTATTTCTGTTTCTAATATAACCATACTATCTTATGTACCTTTGCAGAATCCCTTTTTCCATTAAATTTTCACCCATTATCTCTAAATAGGCCCTGTTTCTCTGTATTTTGTTTCTGTCCTTTATGACTTCCTTTCCTTTCTTTCTTCCCTCTCATCTTTTCCCTCCCCTTTTTACCCCCTTGTCTCTCTATTTCTAATTCTCTCTTCTGCATTTCCCTCTTCTGTTGCTTTCTGATTTTATACTTATTTTTCACTCTATTTTTTTTTTTGGAGTTGTTTTTCCCAATCTTAAACTTTCCATTCTCTTTCCCCCCCTTTCTCCCCCCCCCCCTCTAAGATTACTTGTTCATTAAAGATGGCTTCTTCTTTGTCACAATCTTCTTGTTCTGCATGTGTTTCTTGTTGTTTCTCATAATTCCAAATCTCCATTTCTAAAAACTGAAATACGAAGCCAAAAGAACCTCTCCCTTCTTGTGCATCTTCTTTGTACTTTTTAAGTTCCATTTTCAGTTCTTCTAAAAGTGGAGCCATTTTAAACAGTTTTAAACAACACCCAATTGATTTTAGTCATTCAAAACAATAACCAAGAATCCAGAAATCATCAAGTAATCCAGATAGTCCCGAGTTATATCTTCTTATTTCTTTTTCGACTTTCTCTTCCTGGGGTTTTTGTTGCGATATTTCACTTAGAATGTATCTTTTGGAAGTCTTGTTGAGATTTTGCTATAAATTCTTTTTTAATTCCAGGCAGTCTCCTCCCTTCCAGATCCTGCCCTTTTATTCTTCCTCTCTCCTTTCCTGTTTTCAAAAGCTTTTAATTATCCAGAAATCTTTATTATCCCTTTGACTTTTTATTTTCAGCATTAAATGCCTATTGATGTCAAAGTGGATTTTTTTCCAATTTCTTGGTTAAGGCTCTTAGCTGTCAGTATAGGAAAAGGAGGAAAAAAAACCAAATATTTTCCCTTTTCTCTCCTTCGCAGCTTAAAAATCTTCTTAGGGAACAATGTTATTGTTTTTTAACAGTTTCAATTCCAGGGTACCTTATTTGTTGCTTTTGCTGTTTGACCCGGTCAACCAAAACTTTCTCCTCTTATCTTCCTCCTGCACATTCTTTTCCGGTCGAGTTCTTCTTTGTGGTGGCCATTTCTGACCACCGCTGCAACCACCTTCGCGAAAGGGAGTAATGGCCAGCTGGGGAGGAGAGATGCAGTCTCTCCCCTCTTCACCACCTCTACGGGGTGGCTTAGCCCTGAAGCCAGCCGGCTCGGGGCACTCCAGCGGCGAGCACAGATCGAAGCCTCGCAGAGATGAGGTTTCGGTCTGTCACTGAAGAAGCTCAAACCGGAAGCCCCACTGAGAATTCCT